ATAGCCTGGGCACAAAATGAGAATAAAAGCAATGATAAATGCCACCAATCCCCAACAGGAGCGTAAGTGCTCCACATGAAGAAAACGCTCCCATGTGTCTGAAATACTTGAAAAATCTGCCCTTTGTGTTTCTGCATCAGACTAAAGCAAGGTATTGCTCTTTCTCCCTCACACACACACACACAAAGGTGAAGAGATAAGATACCTTTTCTCAAGATAAATCATAGAATCTTGGACTGCATTCACTTTACAGGAATAATCTGGCATGACACCACTTTAACTGCTCCGCTCTGGTGCCCCCACAAACTACCAATCCCAGAATTCCATAGCATGGAGCCGTGGCAGTCAAAGTGGTATCAAGCCGGATTATTTTTGCTGTGTGGATGCAGCCCCCATGCCAGGAGTTGCATTTGCTTTTGTCCTGTCATAATATGTGGGTAACTGGTATGATGCATTAGTAATGGACATGCATCCGATGTCATCTGGGGGAAAGACACTAGGCCCAGCACCATCCGGACCATCCTTCTTAAAGGACAGGTGGGATTTGGGATTTTTATGTTCTGTTTAAATTATATTAATATATCTGTATGGAAATTTTAATGTTGTAAGCCGTCTCGATTGTTCTGCAGAGGGGCGGGACATAAATAAATATTATTATTATTAGTAGTAGTAGTAGTAGTAGCTATGTTAACAGAGGCTGCATTTGTTCAGAAGTCAATCAAAACATTTTGCAAAGATTTTGGCCACCAAAATGGAAATTATAAGAAAAGTAGAGGCTGGTGAAACAACAAACCACAACAAAATAATAATCCCAGGGTGCATTTTGGGGAGGGAAAGCTGTCAATAGTATCTAGAAGGCTAAAAATGTTTTTGTTTACTTATACAAGCTTACCAGACTTATTTGTTTCACTTCATATGTGCATTTCATTACTTTTGCTGAAGTATGTTAAACTGCTCTTCCTTTTTTGTGGCGTAGGAACTTCTCCTTATTCCTTCCATGATTTTTCTGCCTCTGGTGCCACATTTTCTGTTAAGGAAGTAATGTCCAGCAACACACTGACTTGGGCTGCATCTGCACTGCAGAAATAATTCACTTTGACACTGCTTTATTTGGCATGCCTTAATGCTCTGGGATCCTGGGATTTATAGTTTGCTGTCAGAGCTCTCTGACAGAAATGACGATGACAATTATATACTAATACTGCTACTAATAATATATATTTTTTATTTCTTTCCCATCTTCTTTTCTTTTCCTGTCTTCCCTGACAGAGAAGGTAAAATATCTCAAAACACTTGCAGGCTACAATATGTTTTCAAAGCCATCGTTCTTCTCTGACCCTGCAACACAAATTAAATCCACACGCAAACAGATTCACATGCCATCTGCCACTTCCCTGCCCTCTTATGGACGTCTGTTCAGTCAGAGGGAAAAAAAA